GTATAATGTTCACCTGTAATAGTGTAATATTTACTTATAGATAATTATGTATTGTTGGTATAATGTTCATCTATAATAGTGTAATATTTACTTAAAGATAATTATGTATTGTTGGTATAATGTTCATCTGTAATAGTGTAATATTTACTTATAAATAATTATGTATTGTTGGTATAATGTTCATCTGTAATAGTGTAATATTTACTTAAAGATGTTTATGTATTGTTGGTATAATGTTCATCTGTAATAGTGTAATATTTACTTAAAGATAATTATGTATTGTTGGTATAATGTTCATCTGTAATAGTGGATCTTTAAGTAAATATTAAATTATGTATTGTTGGTATAATGTTCATCTGTAATAGTGTAATGAAGAGTCTGTCTTATCCTGCTACAATAATAATATTTTGTATCTATCTAAACCTGTAAATTCTGGTTTAGTTGTTTCCAACAAAAAGACCGTTTATCCACCCATTAGTCTATAAGTCCGTATTATTATACTACAGATTGAACCTTATCACTATGTAGTATTAATATTGTTTTTCATAGGTCCCGGTGACAAGAACAACGCGATCAGAATTCAAGGCTAACCGGAGTGAAATTTTCTTTTCTTCCTCTGACTACAACAATTATTTAGGGCACGACGTATTGTTTTTGTTCATGTTTCATGTTTTTCAACTTCTGTTTGAGTCTAACACGTTCCGTGAGTGAAAACATGTAATTTCTACTTTTTTAATGTATTTCGTTGGAAAAAAATGTGAGTTAACCGTGTAGACAAATCACAAGTATTAAACTAAATTACTGATAAAATCATGAGCATTAATCCAAAATATAATGATAACCGGTATAATAATAAATTCGGGAGATTATTTTGGTACAAATGTGGGAATGTTGAAAAAAAAAGCAACCAAGGATATCAGTGTTTGTCACACAATGACGTTGATTATTCAACACATATTGGAACTTGTTGTGACGTTTCATTCAAGGAAATGGTGTCTGTTTCGTCACCAGGACTCGGACAACGAACAAGTTCAAGTTGAATCGAAAGTCAAAAATCGAAAATAAGATAAAGATAGCGAGACTTAAACATTTATATTTTAATGACGTTTTACTTTTTTAATCGTAGTAAACAAGTTTATTTGTGTTAACAATATCGTGTAAGAACGTCAGTGAAAATATTTAGGTGAAACATCGAGTGACAAAATACAAAATATTTTCCAGATTTCTGGCCTCTTCGAGTACAAGTATGTGACGTTGTGGGTAAACTTGGCAGGTTTCGTGATACTTCAGGGTGTTAGGGAAGAGAAGCACGTCTTCTTCGTTTTTTGAAGAACGTTCCGAGTGTTTCAGAACACCTAACAGTTTTGAATATGTGATTTTGCTTATTTTTATAATTTTCGTGCAAAGCATATAGACATCCCTAATTATAAATTGATAGTCTAGAGGGAAAATAGTCAACAGCGCCTACCGCCAACTTTTGTGCTTTTTCATCTGATCAAATAGTGAAATTTCACTTCTACTCTTGTAGTGGACTCACATCTCAAGGAAATTCTAACCACAAATCTTCGGATTCACCGACCAGGCACGCTAACCACTAGACCACGCCCAGTCCTATATATATTACATATACATTTGTTAATGATGTATTCCCACACATAATAGTTGATGTCACTTCTTTGTATTTTGTTCTAAAGAATTAGAATACACCGAATCTTCCCATAATATACCCGTATTTAACCGAATGTCCAAGAAACCACGAACCCTAAAGAACACGGTCACGTTCAGTAACAACTTAAAATACACCGTACTTACCCAGATTGTACAATAAACCGTGAACCTTAAAGAATACGGTCACGTTCAGTAACAACTTAAAATACACCGTACTGACCCAGAATGTACCATGAACCCTAAAGAATACGGTCACGTTCAGTAACAAC